TCCCCCCCCTCCCTTCCTTCTAAACCAGGGGCTTCATGACACTTTTCAGGTCAACATGGAAGGTTTTCTGCCCCACCTGTGCCCAAGGTCCCTGAAGCAACTTCTTCCTCAAAGTGCCAGGAGAGACCCTCACCCTCTCAGGACTTGTGAGAAAGTGTCTGAAAATATGTTATGAGATCATTAACCGAACTCCCTCCTCTCCAACTCACCCAGAGGTGGGCCAACAACCAAAAAAAAGATTGGGAATTAAAGAGAGAGGATTTCTTGGATAAGAATGTGCTAGGAATGCCAGCCACCGGAGGCAGGGGTATATTGACGGTGGGAGTCGAAAGAAGTAGGGTGCTTATAGGTGCACATTTTGCATATTTAAGGTGGGGGGGGAACGTAATGAAGAAGTCACCTGGAATTGACATGCAGTTTTGATTCAGCAAACTGGACATCATAATTACTAAAATAAGACCTTTTCTGTGGCCCAAAGTGACCAGGAGATCAAAGCGACGAGGCCCTGCCTTATTTCTCCTAGCCAGGGAAGAGCCTGCCCTGCAGAGCCGGGACTGGCTGAGGGATGCTAAAGCCCTTTGCTGCTGGGTGGTGTGTGTTTAGGTTACAGTGAAGAGCCAGCGTGAAGACTCCTGGGAGACCAGCGATGTAGTCACTGATAACTCACGTTCTGAGCTTAAAGAAATCTGAGGTTCCGAGAGGGGAGCAACTTTCCTCAGCTCACTGGCCCCCAGGGTCCCTGGAGCACGTCGCACCCACCTGGACTCCACAGTGAACTTTTGTTTATATCAGAGAGGACTGTGACTACGCTAGGTGGCCCTGCGCCCCTGGCAGCCCCAGGCAGAGCTTGGGGTTCCTTCTCCCACCTCACCTCTAGGAACGAAGAGGAGCTTAGACCCGCTGGGGAGTCCACTCCCTGGCCTGGTTAAAAACATGCCTATGGGTTCTGAGTCACCAAGTTCCGGGCGGGTCCCAGAATCTGTATTTGATAAGTGCTGCATACCCCGTTGATTCAGCGAGATTTGAAGCGGTCATCTGCCGGCCAGGCCACCCCCGAATGTTTCTGTGGGGGGGGGAACAGAAGAGTAGGGATGCTTCTCAGTGAGAGGCTAGGGAGGAGCCAGACCCCTGAGGTTCTCATGGGCAGCTGCCCTGCCTTGAACTTTGCCTGCAGCCACCAGGGAGTGGGTGGCCCTACTTGGCCAGCACAAGACAGTGGCTGAGCTAGCCTTCCTGGCTGTGTCCCCAGCTCCTGGCCCTGGCCCTGGCCCTGGCCTGTTGCAGGCTCCACTCGGCAGCTATTCAAGGAGGGGCACTGCCTTGTGTTCCCCTTTCCGCCCCTGTAAAAGGATTTAGATGGAGAATTGTAGATAGAGGTCTCTTTGGGGGTTTGTCCGTAGAGTTCAGAAGTGGCTTTTCTGGTTTTTCAAGGACCAGAGGCCTGCTTTGATCAGGTGTCTGACTTTGTTCTCTGGAAACGGCTAAGCGTGAGGCCGGGCTCAGCTCTGCAGAGCCACCATGCGTGTCACTGCAGGGGAGCTGCTTCCCCACTTCGGGGGCGTGGGGCAATGCCAGGAGTGCACAGAGACGTCCTCTCAGTATGAGCGTCTTCAGGAGAGAGGACAGAGATGCCACTGGCAGGGAGAGCTCCTGCTCAGGTCTGGCTGGGCACAGGCCAACCATGGCATCTGCACCTCCGTCCACAGGGCAGCCAGCAGGTGGGAGAGAGTGACTCCCCTGGGCCAGGCCCATCCCGCACAGCCTGTGAGATGCCTGGCTTTGCTCTGGGCCCAGGGCACAGTCCCTGAAAGAAGGGGCTGCCAGCCTAGAACTAGAGGGGCTGGGGCTATCTCCTGGTGGTGGGTGGGCATTGAGCTGTCACTGCGTCCTGGCACAAGGGTCTGGTTTAGATCTACCTCTGACCCTGGGGCTTCCTTCCTCCTGGGTTCTCTGGACCCATGGCCAGCAAATAGGGGAGGTGCTGAGAGGACACCCTGGCAGGTGCTCCCTTCTGGTGCTCGTGGGTGTGAGGAGAGTGGGTACTAGCTCGCCTCGTCCTGAAAGAGGACCGCCATGGGGAGCGTGGCCAGCCCCTCCTCCACAGTTCCAGCTGTTCTGGGAGCACGGGCTATGCCCTAGAGCTGCGGGACTCCAAACAGCCGTCTACATTCCAGAGGGAAAGGGCCAGCTCCCCGTGAGCTCCTGGCTGGGCACCAGCAGCATTATCCCCTAGAGAAATTAATGTATAGCGTCAAATCTCTGCCTACTTACTGCCGCCCTCTCTGTCCCCCACCTCGTTCATGGCTCAGATTCTAACCTCTTTGGGGCGAAACCACCTGTGTTGAGTCATTTTGATGCACCAAATCCTTGGAGCCTGAGAAGAGTATGTAGGAAATTAAAGAAAAGCTTTGCCCAGATATTGTACATGGGCAGTGGGGAGAGAAAGCCCAGGGCCACACAGCCAGTCTCGCCTGGCTGAAATTCCAGGCCAGCACCTGGGATTGTGGGAGAATGCCACCGGACAAGGAGGAGAAGGAGCTCTGGAAGAGGAAGGGGAGGAGACATACCCGTGAAATCCCTGGACCCCACTTGGTCCTCTGGCTGGGAGGTCTCTTTCGCCACTTGCGGTGTTGCAAAGGTGCTGGCTTTAAGGGGTCAGCAGTCCGGGAAAACAGCAACTGGAAAGAACAGAACAGAAGGTGGCGTTCTTGAACCTGTCCATGGGGGTGGCGTGGGGACAAGAACTGCTTGTGCCGTGCCTGCGGAAGCCGCAGCCATGGCCTTCCCGTTTCATCTCGTGTTTGTTTTGGGGTTTTAAACATAAACCTGGCTATTCTTTTCCTCTGAAGGAACAGAGCCTATTGAGATGCTTTGTCCCAGCGGAGGGGTGGGGGAGGGAGACGCCTGCCTCCCCGGCCTCCCCAGGCCTTCCCAGCCTCCTGGGCCAGCTCCTTTGCAGTTTTCTTCTTGGCCAGCCCCACAGGCAGGGGGAGATTTCATAATGAACTGCAGGTGGGATTCTGTGAGCTGAGCTGCTGCTCCCCCAAGGAGGCCCCCACCTGGGCTCTGAGGCCACCCCTCAGAGCTGGCTTTCCACCGCAGCAGGAATGTGGGCTGGCAACTGCACCTGGGCGTCTGCATCCGTCAAATGGGGAGAGAGCAGTACCTACCTCGAGGTGGCTGTGAGGACTGGGTGGTACTGCTCAGAATCTGCTGGGCGCACTGACTAACGATTCTAACCCCTACTCTGAGGTCAATCAGGCAATCTGTGACAGCAGAGGGCATCGCAGGAGGTGGTCCATCTTGTGCCTGGGGTGCCCTTCTGTATCGTTCTCAGGGCCAGGAGTGCGAGCGAGGCTAGGGTGCGATCTGGGATTGGACCAGGCTGTTGAGGACTGTTGCCTGGTGCCTGGATCCCTGAGTCCTGGATGGCCTTCCTGACGGCTTATCTCTCACCAAGAAAGAAAACGCGAGGTGCAGAAGCTGGTGTCCTCAGCTAGGAGCTCCTCTGGGCCAGCCTGCCAGGGCAGCCAGGGGCAAGGGGGTGCAGTGGCAGCCCTGTCTTGACTTTTGCCTGGGGGTGTGGTGCTTCCTCTCTCTGCCCCACCCTGCTAGCTTGGTGCCAGGATGGGTGGGGAAAGCATTGTAGATTCGGAGCGCCTCGCTTCACTACGAATGACTGCATCTGCCCGCAGGCGTAGGAACCAGTGACCAATGGGCCAGGATTAAGCCTTTCAAAAGTGATTTGTCATCAGCAAGTCAACTGGCAGAGAGGGCACTGGTTCAGGGAGGGGGTGGCCTCACCTCCCCGGCCTCCAACCTGCTCAGAGCTGCTTGGCAATGGTCCTGGTGTAGTTGGATTGAGGAGCCTGGCAGGAAGGCAGACACCCAGCTCATGGGTCTCAGCACCGACTGTAGACCTGTCACCCCCATTTACAATGGGGGCTTGTGGGAATGGTCCTTTGTTGGGCAGACAGAGGGTGAAACTGGCAAACAGCCACTCAGAGCCAAGTCCTGGGGACTCCTGACTCTCAAGTAGCCCAGACCTGGGTGGAAGGCTCCTCGCCATGAGCAGGTCTGCACCTGTTCCCTGTCTCGCTGGCATTGCTAAGCCGCATGGCCTCGCCCATCAACCGCTTTTGTTTTCCTTGCACCGAAGCCGCTCCCCTCTGGGCTAGCATCTCCACAGTCCGGCCATTTACAGGTGGCTCGCCTGGTATTTTTCATAGAAACTCCTCGTTTCTGTTTATCCTGCTGGTGAAGCCAGCGGGCATAGGTGTGGCTGCCCAGATTTTCCATCTGAACGAGGCTGTGCCTTGTAAAACCCCTCGATTCGGGGAATTGAGAGGAGCTGTCGTTCATTCAGGAACTAGTGAGCGAGGTGGGGGTGAGGTCGGCGGGTGCGTCCTCGCTGCTGCTGCTGCTGGTATCGTGCGAGGAGGGCTTTCCTGTGGCTCGAGGGTAGGCCGGGCTGCAGGCCTGCGTGAGCGGCGGCTCTTCCCTGCCCACACTGTCCTGGTCAGTATCGGCTGTGTCCCCACACCTCTACGCCCTTCACAAACAGACCCAAGGCCCCGTGCGTCCTGGTCTCGCCTTCAGGCTAGACAAGGGGACAGTCCAAGTCTTCTGATGAACGGGTCAAAAACACCTGCCACACGGACACCGAGGCGGTGGCCCCGGTCTACTCAGAGCTTGCCTTAGGTGTGGCTCCAGGGGTCAGATGCCCAGGAAGCTGCAGAGGGAGCGGGGTCCTCACAGAGTCTTCTGACCCCTCTTCACGGGGCCGAGTAGGGGAGCCTGTGCAAGTTACCAAGCTCTGACACTGTCCCAAGAAGAGTTTAGGGGGGCCCTGTGACTTTCAGCAGGGCCAGAATTGGCCCATGGTAGACCCAGAGCCACCCAGTGGGGACCTGTGGCGAGAGAGGAGCAGAGGGCGAGACGGCTCCGCTCATCCGCGGTGTGTGAGTAGTCCCTCTCCCTGCTGGACCTGCCCCTGCATGATGGCATGGCCGCTCCTGGCTCCTGTCAGCTGCTCCCGAGCAGGTGAGCGAGTGAGTGGGGGAGGAAGCACCCTCTGACCTCAGAATTGAGCTCCTCCGGGCCAGGACAATGGGCTTACATGAGAACTGGGGACCTCACACCGCTCCGGTGCCCGCCCAGCTCAGCCTCGCCTCTCAGAGCTGGAAGAGTCCCGTGGCCCCAGCCTCTCACTCAGACCCATTTTCCGAAGGGAAGAGCCAACGGACCTTAAGGAGGGCGTCCGAGTAGATGTCGTGGGGCTCTCGGTCTTGCCCCCTGCGAATGACTTCCTCTCGTGCATGTTCGCTCCCCCCACCCCACCCCCCCCGTGGGTGCTCACGGGCAGGCCCTGCACTCCCTGTCACCCTGTGGTGCTGTTTCCCTCCTCTGGGGAAGCCATCCTAGACCACCTCTACATACAGACACCTGCATGCACATGTGCACATACACATGAGCATACCCACACACGCATGTACACATACCATGCATGAAAACCCAGAACCCAGAACATGTGTGCTCAGGTACACATGCACACCCGTTTGTGTGGGTGCATGCACGTGCACACACAGATACATGAATACATGTGCATACACAAGCTCACACACATGTACACCCGCAAGCACACACTTAGAGGACAACACCCCCACCTCATTCACGGAATATTCGTTTTTTTGGCAGCTGAGCAAGGCCTGCCGAGCCTTTCCTAGAACAGCTATTATGGGGTCCGATCACCCACACGGGGTGTCCTCCTGGCCTTGGAGTAGCCCTCCGACGCTAACGTGGTTCAGTCTATGGCCAGGAATATGAGGCAGGGCTGTCTCCGCTAGCCTTGGGAGAGACCAGAGGGCTCAGAGGAGCTTCCGGCAGCTTCCCACAGACAGGGCTGACCTGAGCGCACCTGCCATCTGGCGAGTCCATCTTTCCTTCCTGGGGAGAGGATTTTGCCACTTGACCAAAGGCAAAGCCCACACTCTCGGGCCAGTTTCCCTACTTCTCAGGAGCCCGAGGCACAGCTCCGGCTTCCGGCTTCTCTTTGTCTCCAAGGGCGCACGCAGTGTACGGGAGCTGCTGGGAACCTGAGCCGGGCTGTGAGGGGCCAGGCCGCCGGTGGGTGTGCGGGGGAAAGCCCTGGGAGAGTCTGCTCGCAGAGACCTGGCCCACGGAAATGGAGCCCCTGAAAGGCTCCTGCCAGGGCCCGAGCCAGGCCCCTGCGACGACCTCGACCTCGTTACTCGAGTCGTGTAGCAGGAACGCTGGAGGCGGTGGATGAAGAGTTCTTTCAGCCACTCGCAATGGAAACCCCAGACAAATCTCAAGAATGTGCCAGAGAATTCTTTCCCTCGTTTATAAATAAAGCTCATTGTTTGGAGGAACTTCCTTCTCATCTCTTTATGCCCTTTCTGCGAAGGTAAGCATGTTTCCCTCGACTTCCAGCTTCTGGAAAACCATAGGTTTTTCTCTTCTGGATGCTTTGAGGGTTGCTTTGAAATTCTGGGCCTCAAGAAGTTTTGGAGTAGATAATTGTGGTGAGGTAACAGACCACTGAGATTTTCATGTGGTGACAGGTGAGACTTTGATTCATCACGTGACAGTTGGAAAGGGGTCCTTGGTCTGGCCAGCCACAGAGGGTGACAGTGCAGCCACCACAGATACTTATATGACTTGCCCAGAGACAGCTGGTTCCCCAGCTACCAAGTGTCAGAGTTGGCTTCAAACTCATCAACTCCACTTCCAAAGTCTCTGTACCCTTTTCTTTCTTAGAAGGTTTTTCCTTAGGGCATATGTGCTTGCCAGAGAGAGACAGAGAGAGGGAAAGTGAACAGTCACCTTCCTGGGGATGGCCATGCTGCAATCCCTCCTCCTACACGTCTTCCTGGGATCTTGGACATGCATACACACAAGCCTGGTGTGAGTTTCAAACCACCAGGTCCAGGACTTGAACCATGGTCGGCCATGTGGGATTCCAGCAAAATAACTGCTATGCTATCTGGTAGCCCCAGTCTACATCCTTAAACCACCCTAGTCTGTCTCCCATGGATTCATTCAGAAAGAAAAAGCAAACCCCTTCTCTGAATTTACACAAGAATTCCCTTGAAGACTATTTCCTAAGGGCTTTTTTTTTTTTTTTCCCCACAAAAATCATTTGATTGGGTAGATCGTGGATGTGCGTGAACGCTTTTAAGTCTTTGGAAGCTTTTTGTGCATTGACTCTGCTTCTTAGAGACCCTCAGTTCTGCTCAGCACCCAAAACTGGGTGAATTAAATATGAGTGGTTTCCAGCCCTGAGATACCACAGTGCGGAGGGGCTCACATCACCATGTAACCCCTTCCCCATTCACAGATGGTGAGGCTGAACCCCAGAATTTAGAGGACACCCCAGGACAACCAGATGAACTAGTCTCAAGTTCAAGGCAAGAGGAGGGCCAAAGCTCAAAGAGAGGGGCCAGACAGTGGTGCAGCTGCAAAATGCGATGCTCTGTGAGGCAGTCCCACATGAGAAGTTTCCAGGCTCAAATCTGGAGACCTCCCTGAGTACGCACATGGGTCCAGGATCCAGGGCTAACTAAAGCTAGAGGAGGATTGCAATATCAAGACCCTGATGGAGGTAGCTCTCTGTCTCTCCCTCTACTCCTCTTGCTCTCTTGCTTAGAAGAAATGAGTAAATAAATGAGAGAGAGGAAGGAAGAAAGAGAAAGAAAGAGAGAGAGAGGAAGGAAGGAAGGAAGGAAGGAAGGAAGGAGGGAGGGAGGGAGGGAGGGAGGGAGGAAGGAAGGAAGGAAGGAAGGAAGGAAGGAAAGAAAGAAAGAAGGAAGGAAGGAAGGAAGGGAGGGAGGGAGAAGGAAAAAAGAAAAAGGTCAAGGAGAGGCGGAAACAGAAAAGGAAGCTTTAGGTCGCATTTTGCATCAAGAAACTAGTTATGCAGCATCACTGGGAAGCCAGGCAGGGCCTCGGAGACAGGAGCCATTTCCTCTCTGCCTGACATGAGTACCACAACCTCACCCACAGCTTTATGTTATAAAAACATGTCACAAGTCTTTGGCAAAGAGCCCGGGCTGTCTGTTCCTTGCCCTGTAACTCTGCTTCTCTTCCATAGAGGTTGGGTGCAAGTCCTGTACCCTTGGGTGTCTTTTTAAAGGTCTCCCTGGTGCCTTAACGGATAGTCCAGGTTGAGGACCACAGGGTGTTAGCCCAGGTCCCACCCTCTCTTCCAGCCTGGGACTCAGAGAGAGAACTCAACCTGTTGGCTCTTGGCCCACCCAGCTTAGAGACCTCCGTGAGGTCTCCGTGGACATGCAGCTGCACCGCGTCTGTTATTGTGGACAGGGACCAGGGTGCAGGCAGAGGGGCGGGAAAGAGGGAGTCTGGTCCTTTGACAGAGATGGACAGACGCTGTGGCTGTGATCCAGGGTTTCAAAATAATCACTTCTGAGCATTTGTCACCTGAAAGCTGGGATCCGTCAGGAGTTTTCCGTACAAAGGGAAAGGCTTGAACCCTCACCTACCCCTTGCTCACGACAAATATTTGACCAGTGGGGTCTTGAGGCAGGCAGGAGGAGATTGCTCAGTGCCCGGGAGTGCCTTATCTCCGGGCGTGGGCGTGTGCTTGCTTCTCTTTTTGTTCTCTGTACGCTTACTAGGTGGAGTGAGCGAGAGCCGGCCCTGGCCCCCATGATTCACGCAGTCTTGGTTTTCATGGGGCACCCTCCCTCAAGCCCCGTCTCCTGCCCCAGCTGCTTAGCATCCTCTGGGCTTGGCATATACCCTCCCCTCCCCGCAGAGAGCCACTCCCAGTGCCTTCGGCCCAGTTAATCAGTTAATCCACCCCTCCCTCAAGGCTCTGAGGCCCTGAGCAGTCCAGGCTGCGGTGCCCACTGGGGTGGGTGTCGGCAGCACTGTGACTGGCTGCTTGTGTGTCTGTTTCCACTGGGCTGTCGCCTCCTGGGTGAGCAATGTTTGTCCTCGGTTCCTGGGTGGGGCTGGCTAGGGTGCCTCTCCATAGTTTGGGGCAGTTCTCACTGGCCTGCAGTGGGGAGCCACCCGCAAGCTGCCATTTCCAGATGGGGAAGACGAGACCGCAGGCAGGTCGCTTGCCCCAGCCTTCCGCACGTAGAGCCCCTCCTGGACGACTGCTGTCGGGGGAGCCCCCTCCTCACAGCTGTCCTAGCTGCCAGCACCCCTTGGCACTGGGGCTCTCATGGCAGCTCGTGGGCACACATTCCAAAGGGGACAGGCGTGACTGCCTAACGGCCGGGACGGGGGCTGCTTCTGTTTCCCAGACACCTGGCCAGGAGGAAGCCCTGGCCTGGCTCAGCCTCGTCTTTTCCCCTTACTCCTTCTGGTCCTCTCAGGGGTGCTCTGCCCCTACCTGCTCCCCTACTTCCCAGATGGTTCCCTGGGGCTCCTTCCTCCATTCTTCCCCAGGGCTCCTTCCGGGCGGGGTGGTGAGGGGTGTGAGGGAAGACCTCCTCCCATCGATCTCCTGGGAGCAAAAGCCCTGGTGTGAATGATTTCATTCATCTGTGCTGAGGATGACACCTTCGCGTGATGGTGACTTAGAGTGTGTCTCTGGGACAGACGAGGCTGGGTGGCATCTTTGCTGTAAGAATGGCCCTGGGAACCAGGAGGCTCCAGAGAGATGAGACACACTCACTCAGGGACCCCTAAATGGTGGGCTCAGGGCCCCTTGAGGGGCTGTGATGATAGAAATGTTCTATAAAATGCTCACCTTCAAGACATGACACCAAATGAAAGAAGTTAGTCATAAAGTCTACATATTATATATTTGTCGGCAAATCCATATGGAAGTCAGACCAGGGAAATCTACAGACAGAACGTAGCTGTGCTTAGCAGGGAAGGGGAACAGTAGCTAATGGGAGTGGAGTGTCTTTTGGGGGTGATAGGAATGTTGCACATGTTTGGGAATACACCGGATTCTCCCCTCTCGGTTGGTGAGTTGTATGGCCTGTGGACAACATCTTGTTAAGGTTACTTAGAAAAAAGAAAGAGGAGGGCCAGCAGGTAGCATGATGGTTAAGGAACTGGATCCCATATGGCCAGCTCTGCAGTTTGAGTCCCAGACCTGGCAGTCTGAGAAATATGCCAGATGGACGTGCATGCCTACCCAAAATCCCCGGAGAATGGAGGAGAAGGTGTTGCAGCATGGCCATCCCCTCTGGAGCGTGATTTCTCCATTTCCCTTTCTCTCTGTCTCTCCCCGGCAAGGGCACATGCCTGTGGCAAAAAAAAAAAAAAAAAAAAAGAAAGAAAGAAAGAAAGGAGAAAGAAAGGAAAGAAGAGAAAAAGAAAAAAGAGAAATAAAAGGAAAGAAAGCCAGCTGGTGGCATGGTGGCTAAGGCAGCTGGATCCTTCATGACATGGTTTGAGTCCCAGAACTAGTGACTTGAAAATCACTCTGGGTGTTTATGCATGCGTGCTCCAAACCCTAAAAGCGGGATGGAGAGGGGATTGCAGTACCCCATGGGGGGAGGGGGTACTTTTCACTTTTCCTCCCTCTCTCTCTCTCTCTCCCTCTCTCTCTCTCTCTCTCTCTCCATTTCTCTCTGGCAAACACACATACCCTATAGCAAATCTTTAAAAAGAGAGTGATAATTTCTTCCTACTATCTCACTATAAAACAGTGCTATAGATAAATCATGCAAAAAAAAATTTTTTAAATGTCACCCCTTGGGGATCAGCAGTTAGCGTAATGGCTATGTCGCTGGACTCCCATGTAGTCGACCACAGTTCGCGTCCCGGACCCAGTGGCTTAAAACTCACGCCGGGCACATGTGGATGCGTGCCCAAGATCCTGAGAGGAGAACGGAGGAGAAGAGATTGTGGAGTGGCCATCCCCCCGGGGGGTGATTTCTCACTTTCTGTCTCTCTGTCTCTGTCTGGCGAGCGCAAAAAAAAAAACAAATTAAAAAAAAAAACAAAACAAAAAAAAAAAAAAACCTCTCCCCCCCCAAAGAAAAATGTTACCCCCACTTTCAAAAGGACCTGTTTGCAAGGTGACACACCCAGAGGCAGGGCAGAGTCCTGGGGCTGCCATGGGCCAGGAACTGGGGTCAGTCCCAGGTAGGCTTTTGTCCTGTGGACCGCTGTGGACTGGTGTTTCCACTGTAGACTTCCAAGAATGCACATGAAAGTGTGTGGGTGCGGGAGTGGGTGTGTAGGGACGATGAGAGAAGGAACCCGCCCAGAGCATAGTCTTCATCCCGTACAAGCACACACCCGAAGATGTCAGAGCCTGGCTTAACCCGGAGCCTTCCTCTGCTCGGCTGCCGGAGCTCAGAGGCAAAGCTTGCATCCAGCACGGTGCAAGCTCAGGGCTGCGGTCAGCGCTCTGGCAGGCGGCTCGGCTGCACCCTGTTACTGCCCTTGGTTCCTGGCTATGATTCACGTCTCGAAACACATAGGGCAGAATCCAGCTAAAAGAGGTGAAGTAAGATAACTGCAGACCAGGGACCGAGAGCACCTCAGAGCCTGTCATTCTGGGTGCCGCTGTGCATGTTTACCTTGTACGTCTGTACTGCTATTGTTTTACAAACAACGGTGTCGCTACCATAGAAATACAAGCAATGTCACGATCCAGTTCTCCTTACCTGCCTGTACTCTAAGAGGAGTCCCCTTCCTGCCCAGAAAAACCTAGCAGTGAAAGAGCGCCTGGTTCTCCGTGGGCCCCTCAAGGTGGCATGTGCGCGTTGCTGCAGGATGGGCGGGGTCCTGGGGTGCCTGTGAACCAGGCCGCTAATTTAGATCAGTCCTCCTCCATGGTCACCAGCAGCCCAGGCAAAGGACGCTCCAGGAAGGGCTGTCTCGGGCCGCTGTCCATCTCTGCCCCTGGGAGGCCATACCACATCGGTCCCCATTTCTCCACCACATCCTTGGGCATCCTAAACTCAAGTCCTGTTCAGCCATTGGCATGCCTGTGGTCCTTTGTCAGGGCCCCTTATTTATTTATTTATTTATTTATTTATTTATTTATTTTTGGAGAAGTTTTTGCTATAGGACACATGCACTCGCCAGAAAGACAGAGAGAGATAGAGAGACAGAAAGTGAGAAATCACCCCCCAGGGGGGATGGCCACACCGCAATCTCTTCTTCTCCATTTTCTCCTCGGAATCTTGGGCACGCACGCACACATGCCCGGCGTGAGTTTAAGCCACGAGGTCCAGGACTCGAACCGTGATCGACTACATGGGAGTCCAGTGACATAGCCATTACGCCTACTGCTGGTCCCGTCAAGGCCCCTTAAGGACAAGGCTAAGTAATCTGTGTGATCTCAGCGCAACTGTGAGTGAAGTTCACACATATCTCATTCTATGGCGGTCTGAAAAAAATTTTAAAGAATTATTTATTTAATTTTATTTAGCATTACTATTAATCATTTTTCAATTTGCTACAGGGCATATGTGCTCGCCAGAGAGAGATAGAGATAAAGAGAGAGAAAGTGAGAAAGCAAGCCGCCATGTCCAGGACTCGAACTGCAGTAGGCCATTTGGGAGTCCAGTGCCTTAACCGCCACACCATCTGCTGGCCCCTGAGCATTTTATGTAATAGCTTTCGTTGTAACCTTTATGAGGTGTTTGGTGTGTCCTGCTGTTCTGCCACGTGCCCTCAGGCCATCTGAGATGGGTCAGTGGGAGGTTTTCTGGTCAGAGATGCCTGTCTCTGATTCACGGGGCACAACTTGGTTTTGGTAAACCCAGATTTGTCATTGAAGAGCTTTTTCTCTCCACATGTGGCTCTCTCCTGATGGTTTCCTGAGAGGCCTGAGGACACCTTTGAGGACAGTGGTGTCTCTTACCAGCAAGCGGGCTGCAGGTCCAGGGAGAGGGGATCAAGGCACCAGGTCAGCACCTTCAGGGGACACAGGTACCACAGGGGCTGCAGGGCTGGGAGGGCAGCCTGCCTCGGCCCCTGGTGCTCAGAAGACAGCGCCGAGCTCTGCAGTACCTTGGGCACTCTGGATGGCAAAGCCATCCCTACCTGAGTCCCAGCCTGTCCGAGCCAGTCCTTATCTGGGGGCTGAGGTGGGGTGCAGTGGAGGGGGCTGAGTGAAGAGTGTCAAGAAAGGGAAGAGTAGCATGGAAATCCCAGCGAGGCTCTGTGCCTCCTCATCCACAGCGAGACGTGTGACCACGCCATTGGGGGGAGGCGCTGGCCCCAAGTCCGTCCTCGTGCTCCTTTTGGAAAATGGGGGAGCTCATTGGCCCTGGGACTTCAGCCAGGGTGTCTACAGAACCACAGGCTTTGCTTCTCTTCCGCCTGTCCTCGGCCCTCCCAGGAGGCAAAGCTGAGCTGGGCTCCATCCCCTCCAACCTCTGACAGAGCATTTCCTAGACTTCGGGCTGGGGCTGAATTTTTATAAAAGAAAAACCGAATTACCTAGTATGGATCACTTGTTTTGCCAAGTAAAGACCAAAAAAAATCTGCTGGTCTCTACCATTTCATGAAAGGAAGGCTATTTTAATATTGAAAAATGGTAGAAAGGATAGAATCTCAGAAGAAAGGAAGCCCTTCTGCTGAAAATGCAAGATAACCTAAGTCCCCTAAGTCCTTTCTTAGAGTGACACCTCACTCAACTTCCACGTGCCTCCCCTGTGCCCACCTGCCAAACGGTTCAGTTCTTCCCTCATAGGGTTGTCATGAGAATTAACTGAGTCAATATTGTCAAGTGCTTCAGATAGTCTCTGTCATATAAGTATGAGTAAGTGTTTATAAAGAATAAATTAAAGGGCCAACAGGTGGCATAGTGGTTAAGGTGCTGGACTCTCACACAGCTGACCATAGTTTGAGTCCCGGACCTGGTGGTTTGAAACATGCCGGGCGCGTGTGGGTGTGTGCCCAAAATCCCAAGAGGAGAATGGAGAAGGGATTGCGACATGGCCATTACCCTGGGGGGTGATTTCTCACTTTCTGTCTCTCTGTCTCTCACTGCCTCTCTGGTGAGCACATGTACCCTATAGCAAAAATCTCTCTTTTAAAGAAAGTTAAGTTTGTCTTTCTTTTTTTTTTTGGAGAGGTCTTTGCTATAGGGCATGTGCGCTCGCCAGAAAGAGAGAGACAGAGAGACAGAAAGTAAGAAATCACTCCCCAGGGGGAAGGCCACGCTGCATCCCTTCTCCATTCTCCTCTCGGGACCTGGGGACACATGCACATGCGCCCGGCACAAGTCCAAGCCACTGGGTCTGGAACTCGAACTGCGGTCAACTAATGGGAGTCCAGTGACATAGCCATTATGCCAACTGCTTGTCCCTTAAATTCGTCTTTTAAAAATGAATAGAAGCAAGCCAGAGGGGGTTGGAAAGACAAGACTGGAGATCTAGGGCCTGAGGGGGCATGAAAGAGTCATTTTGGTGAAGACAGTGCCTGCGCCGTACTCTACTCCCGTCCTGTGTCTCTGCACCCGGAGGCCTCAGTGACTGCTGGACTTGGATGTGTCCCAGCTCGGGCTCCCCTCTGGCCCAGTACTCACCTCTGCCTCCTCTCTTGCAGGTCTTTGGGGGCCTGGTATGGATCCTGATCGCCTCCTCCCTGGTGCCCATCCCGATGATCCAGGGCTGGGTGATGTTCGTGTCCGTGTTCTGTTTCGTGGCCACCACCACCCTCATCGTCCTGTACATGATTGGTGCCCACGGCGGGGAGACGTCCTGGGTTACCCTGGTGAGTCCCAGCCTGGTTTCGTGTGTGCCTATTGGGGCAGTAGGGCTGGCTCTTCTCCCAGGGAAGGCTGGCTTCTCTAGCACAGATGAGGCTGCCTGCGCCTCGACTTCCACGGCCCGCAGAGCCGGGGCTCCCTGTCACTGCCTTGGTCATGGCTAACCAGCAGCTCAGCCCCCTCTCCGTGCCCCTGCATCTGCTGGGTGTCCACTGGCACCTCTACCGTGCAGGAGGGCTGTTTTCACCCTGGGGAGCAGGGTCCTGGAGGCTGATCCTAAGCTGGGCTCCCCAAAGGCCAGTCCAACGCCCAGCTCCTCAGCCATTGCCACTCCGTAGGGCTGCCAGGAGGATCCAGAGGAAAAACACTGGTCTTTATTCTGTATCTGTTCTGCTTTGAGGCCCATGTAAAGCATGAAATTTACATATTAGGTACCTTCCCATTACCTTCGGGTTGGGGGGCATTAGTCTGCTTGTCTCACCCTGAAAGACCTTCTAACCTTGACTTTTTACACCACTTTCAAAATATAACCACACGAACCCCCATTTTCTTACTTCTTTGCTCTTTTGAAATGTCTTCCATGAGAGACAGAGACAGGTATTCTTGACAGGGTCATCATGCCTTGATCCACCCCCAGCCTCCACCATCACCCACTCAGGGAGGTCCCACGATGCAAACCCAGACCTCTCCCATGAGGTCTCAGCATCACAGATCATCGTGTTACCCACGCATCTTTGCAGCTGGCCACTTTTTTGCCATTAAACACATTAGGAGTTGAAAACGAAAAACAACTGCAAACAATAATAAAACAGCAACGACAAGAAAAAAAAAAACAATGGAAGTGGCCCGGGCCGCTCTCCCTGCACTGGTCGATGAGGCCACATCCAAGATGGGACCATGAGCACATCTGACCCTTCCCAGGCCCAGTACTGATTTCGACTTATTCACACCCTAGTGCCCAGCCTGCCTTGACCCCACCTCTGTGAAAGGCAATGGCTCTTCTCTACGGAAGTGCGGCTCCCACCAGTAAGCCCTAGCTGGGCAGCGCTGGTCACAGCACCTCAGCGAGGAGAGGGGCTGGGAAGGGTGGGAGAGAGGAGCTTGGAGGAAGTAGCGGGAGATTACAGATTACGAAGGGACCTGCATTGCGGCAGACGGGGCTCCCCACCTCTCCACACCAGGTGGGAGTGCCTTTGCCTCCCCACCCTCTGACGCCCTCTCTGACCCACAGGACGCCGGCTACCACTGCATCGCAGCCCTGTTTTACCTCAGCGCCTCAGTCCTGGAAGCCCTGGCCACCATCCTGATGCGAGACGGCTACATCTACAAACAGTACCACGAAAACATCTCCGCTGTGGTGAGTCCCGGAGCCCGCGCCTGCCCCGGTGCCCCAGGAACAGCTCCCCCGCCATGGACAGAGGCTCTGAACAGAAGACAGCCCAGACCCCCCTTTTCATAATTATTATTTCTTAATGGCCAGAGAGAGTTGGGGGGCGCCTTCCAATGGGGTGTGCTCATGCTGAAGTCCCTTCTCTGTTTCTATGTCATGTTGGGATTTTGGACACACTCATGTGCATGTACACACACACACACACACGCAAATGGGCCCAGTATGTTTTTCAAGCCACTAGGGTGAGATTTAAATGGCAGAAAGTCATGCAGGATCAGGCTTCCTTAACTACTAGGTTATCTGTTTGTTTGTTTGTTTGTTTGTTTGTTTTAATTTTATCTAGTTTTTTCTTCATGAGAGACAGAGAGACAGGCACTCCAAACGGGATCTTCATGCTATCATCCACTCCCAGTCTCAGCGAGCACACACGTGCCCAGTGTGCTCAGGGAGGTCCCCGTAAGCAAACCCAGGACTTTTTCAGGTGGATCCAGTTGTTTTACTGCTGCAGCACTGCCTGGCCCTTGGTAACTTTTGAGGGAAGTCAAATCTTCTCATTTCTGAAGCAGTAAAACTCCCAGCAGATGGTGTAATGGTTACATCTGGACTGGACTCCCACATAGTTGTACACTGGACTCCCATGTAGTCAACTGCGGTTCAAAACCCTGACCTGGGGGCTTAAAACTCACACCGAGTCTGTGTGCGTGTGTGCCCAAAATTCCAAGAGGAGAATGGAGGAGAAAGGATTGAGGTGTGGCCATCCCCTGGGAGGTGATTTCTTGCTTTCTGTCTCTCTCTCACTGCCTCTCTGGTGAGCACATGTGCCCTATAGCAAAAATCTCTCTTAAACACACACACACACACACACACACAAGAAAAGAAGTGACACCTGAGTCTCCTTTAGCCATCTGGCCAGTGATTCTCTGTCCCGGGCCTGGGCAGGCTTTGCAGAGGACAGCCATGTGAGATTCGGCACTGTCTGAGCACTCAGGGACAATCGTACTTAACCCTGTAACAACCCTGTGACACAGCTGCTGTTGTCATACCCACGTCTCAGATGGAGACACGGCGCAGAGGTCCTGGGTAACTTGCCCAAGGTCACCAGTAATGGGTGGGGCCAGGTGTCAAGGCCGGTGCTTTGTCACCACACTCTTAGCACCAGTTGGAACAGGGAGTCTGGCCACTTGGGTCTCCTGACTGTCCCTGAGTGGTCTTCATTGAAACATACACCAGGGATGAAGGCAGCGTACTAGGCCGAGATAGATCCTCTTCATTGTCCTAGATCAGACTGACAGGGAGTAAGCGAGTGTATTGTTTCACAAAATGATTCTTTACAAGATTGTGTATGTGTGCCTTTTTTTTTTAATTTTACCCAAAGGCATGTGCGCTCACCCGAGAGAGATGAAGCGAGCACAAGCAGGAGAAAGCACCCCCTAAGAAGGCTGGTCATGCCATAATCCCTTCTCCATTTCTCCTTTCATGATCTAGGCCATGCACACACACATGCCTGGCGGGTTTCTTAAGCCACTGGGTCTAGATTCAAACTGTGTAGTCGACCATACGGGATACGACTCCCTTAACCCCCAGGCCACAGGGCCAGCCTGGCATGTGTGCTCTTGTACCTGTACACAAACTGTGATAGAAAATGCATTTCGTAGGGCCCAGTCATGATGGCACAAGCTGCTGAGATGCTGTGCCCCACATGGGAAGCCCGGGTTGGATTTCCAGTCCACTCCAAAGGTGTGGCGGTGTGCACCTGTGATCCCAGCGACTGGGGAGGCTGAGGCAGGAGGGAAGATGATGATATAATAAGATGTGTTGGTTTCAAATATAATTCTAATCATGAGTATAGTTTTTAAAAATTACATGTTTCAGAAATGGCACTCAGATTTCTAGAAATCGACTTGACTTATGCAAATCCTGAGGTTTGGGGGGATGATGACATGACAAGATGTGTTGGTTTTAAATATATTTCTAACCATGAGTATAGTTTTTAAAGGTTACATGTTTCAGAAATGGCACTCAGATTTCTAGAAATCGACTTGACTTATGCAAATCCTGAGGTTGGATGTGCGAAGATCACCCCATCCAGTGCCCCACCATGTGGGCACGTCCCCCAGGCTGGCTCACCCCACACACACACACACACACACGGCTGGGTCCTGACTAGCACAGCCAGGGTGCCATGGTTGCTCTTCCTCCCCCAGAGGCAGGTACCCTACCGCCTCGTTCATCCTTTGAACAATCTGTTTCATCTCCATGTGCCTCTCACCTACCGTACCCTAATCCCAGAGGCCTTACCTCTTTATGGAAGTCAGCCAAGTATTTGACAGCGGTTTCCCGAAGAGCACAGTGGATGACAGTGGTGAAATGCAGATGGGATGTGGTTAGAGAGCCAGCGCAAGACAAAACACTCAGATGGGATGAATCAGTGCTCCCGCCCACTGGGTAGTTCCCTAGGTTGGAACCCTGGGCTCTACTGCATTCCCACTTTTCTCTTTTGCTTTTTTTTTCTTTTTAATTTCTTTTTCATGAGAAACAGACAAGCACCCTCAACAGGGTGTCACACCTCAATCCTCCCTTGGTCTTGCCAGCCAGCCAGAGCTGCGAGCACACACATGCCAGCGTGTACAGGTCAAGGTTGGGAATGGAAACCCAACCTCGCACAGGGCTTTGGCATCTCGGAGTGACGTGCTGCTGCTATGCCACTGTGCGTGGGACTTTTTTTTTTTTTTAAGACAAAATTCTCATCAAGTGCCCATCCTCCTGCCTCAGCCTTCTGGCTGGGACTACAAGTATGCACCACCACTCTAAGCTCTTTCTAGACAGGTGTCACCATGCTGCCCAGCCTCCAGCAACTGCCTCAGCCTCCCGAGTCGCTGGGACTGCAGCGCACACCAGCATGCTCGGCCTTTAGGTTGGCCTGGGAATCCAACCCAGGCTCCGTGCATGGCCCAGCCTGTGGAGCACAGCATCTTAGCAGTGCATACCTTTCCTATGGGGCCCTCTTTTACTTAGAGAAATGCAGCCTATGGGGCCAGCAGGTGGCGTAGTGGTTAAGGCGCTGGACTCCCAGGTGGTCACCCACAGTTGGAGTCCTAGACCCAGTGATTTGAAACTCATGCTGGGTACGTGTGCATGTGTGCCCAAGATGCCGAAAGAGAATGGAGAAGGGATTGCAGCATGGCCCCCCTCCCTGGGGGTAATTTCTTGCTTTCTGTCTCTCCATCTCTCCAGTGAGCTCATGGCTCTAGCAAAAATCTCTAAGAAGAAGAAGCATACATCTGGAGAAGTAGAGATTATAAGTGTGCAACTCAGTGCGTTTTCATTACGTGAACTCCCTTCAGTAGTCAGCATCCAAATTAAAAACCAAGATATAACACAGAGCTCCCAGAAATGCCCCTCGTCCTACTGCCATCACTGTGGCTCTTCTACCACCACCCAGTTTCTGATCTCCAGTGTCCAGTCCCTCTGGCCGCCTTCCTATCACCTTCATGGGGAAAGAATACACAGTGTATGTTCTCTTACACGTGACTCCTCGCAGCTCTGTCTGTGGGACTGGTTCACGTGGTTGGGTATCACTGTAGAAATGTAGAGATTTCATTCTCACTGCTGTATAGTATTCCGTTAGAGGAATAGCTGACATCTGCTTATCCGTTCTCCACTTGGTTACACCCCTGCATTCTTGTTCTTTTTCTTTTCCTTTTTTTTTTTTTTTGGAGAGACGTTTGCTATAGGGCACGTGCACTTACTGGCAAGACAGAGAGAGACAGAGAGACAGAAAGTGAGAAATCGCCTCCCCCACACACAGGGGGATGGCTACACTGCAGTCCCTTCTCCTCCAGCCTCCTCTCGGGATTCTGAGCACACATGCACAGGCGCCTGGTGTGAGTTTCAAGCCACCAGGTCTGGAAATCAAACTGCAGTTGGCCATGTGGGAGTCCAGTCATCTGCTGGTCCCAACTCAATACAAAGTTTTACCTACATCAATAAGTAATAGCACCGCTTGGTTTGGCCCAATTTTTTGATTACCTATAGCTAGATGTGCCCAGCAGGCCCTGCTCTGGGTCCACACTGCCCGGGGGTGCTGTGAACAGGGCTCCATGTAGGCCACACCTTTCCATGTAGAGTATCGTGACCGTGAGCAGCAGTCACTGTTCAGATGTAACCCCAGCCACAACGCCTCCTTTGGATGGGCTTGAGTGTGGTCAGTCTGGGCTGGGAGCCCCTGAAAACCTCTCTCCCGTGCTCCTGGCCTTTGGAGCGTCCAGCCCTTCATGCCCCCACCTCCCATCGTTCCTAACTAGGATCTGTCTCAGAAGCTCGGCCTCCCCTCTCTCCTCCGTTGGTGGCATCAGTTCTTCACCCACAGGATTCTGGGATGGGTGGAAGTGACTGAGGAGAGCTGGAGATTTCTGGAGAGATTTGGAAGTTTCTAGATCTTAACTGCGGTGGGCAGTAACGGCAGCCATCTAGAGAGACGGGTTTCTGAAGGCTGAAAATCAATCCTTCCGCATGCCCCGCCCTAAGTGACCCCTGTGTGCCATTGCTTGACCTCCCTGGGAAAACCAGCTTCAGCTTCCTATTCCTGCGGGGGACTTCCAAGATGCCTTTGCCAAAGGTTCCTGCCTCCCCCACCCCCGCCATGGGAGAGGGGCTTCTGGAGAAGGTGCTCACTTATGTAGGACTGCTCCTTTCAGAAAAGGTACTTAGGAGTTCCCGGATGAGTTCTCTCAAGTCTGTTATTAAATAACTCAGCTTATTCATCGCCTCTGGCCAATGGGGGCAAAGAGTTTGCCCAAGCGTGGGGCAGAGAAAGAACAGGCACGGTGCCGGCCGGTGTTTATGGGTATTTTCCAGAGTCAGGGAAGCATAGCCGTCCTAAATGTTGTGCTGGCCTGGAAACTCCTGACCCTCACCCAAGGTCATGACACCAGGTGCAGACGTGGGACGTGAGGGCGGGCAAGCCTTTCAGAGGCCGATGACCCCAGGCAGGGTGATGGGAGAAGACAGTGCCCAGGTCAACACCATAAGCCACAGGTGACCATTGGCCACCCTTTCAGGGCCTCGTTCCCAGTGCCAAAATGATTGACTGAGCCCCACAGCTTGCTCGATCGGCCCCCTCCTTTTGACAAAAACTCAAACATCTCTTCTCCCCGTCCCTGCCCCTCACTACAAAGCCTGTGAAACAAAAAGCCCTAGGATAAAATTCAGATGGGTCTAAGGATGTCCAGGTGGCATCAAGACCTTAACCACAGCCACAAATCTATGTACTGTGTCACGGATTTCTCTCTCTCTCTTTTAAGAATTATCTGTTCAACTTTATTTATTATTATTACTATTTTAATTTGGCTAGGGAGAGACGGGGGTAGGGGAGTGAGAAAGAAAGTAAGCCTCCAGGTCTGGGACTTGAACTGTGGTTGGCCATGTGGGAGTTCAATGCCTTAACTACCATGCCACCTGCCAGCCCTCATTGATCTCTTAACACAGACGCTAGGATGCTGGTCTTACCGATATAGGGGAAGCAAGTTTTCCATGGAGAGTGTTGACACTTCCCTAGAATTTTCTTTACTTTTTTTCAAAAAAAAAAAAAAAAAAGTGTATCTATTTATTTCTTCCATGAGCGAGAGAGAGAGAAAGACAAGTACCCCAACCAGAGTCCTGACACCATGAACCACCCCCTGCTTCAGGTAACCTGAACATTTCGCTGTACCCAGGGAGGCCCTGAGATACGAACCCAGAACGGCCCCATGCAGGTTTAGCTGAGTTACCACTGCATCGCCATCTGGCCCTCCTGGATATTTTCCCTGGAAAGGGTCTTTGAGGGTCCCTGTTTCCAATGAGCTGACACCAACATGAGGTTTTGTATACCAGGTTCAAGAGATGGTTAGGTCACCTGCAGCTCTGCACTGAAAAGATTCAGGGTGCACCTCCCTGCTCAGCAGAAAGGGTGTCTGTGTGACTGCAGGAAGCAATGGCAGCCCACCCTCTTCAGGCTGGTCACCCCACACGCCGTGTGAGCACGTGGCCTCAGCTCCTCCCCGTGCACTGCCACTAACAGCCGTTCCTCTCCGTGCAGGTGTTTGCCTACGTCGCCACCCTGCTCTACGTGGTCCACGCCGTGTTCTCGTTAATCAGATGGAAGTCTTCATAAAGCAGCAGCAGAACTCGAGCTGAAAACCCGGCCGGTGTTACCGATCTGCCTACCTTCCAGCACAGCTCTTTCCAGGGCAGAAATGCTCTCAGTGGTGGGAAAACGAAAAACAGCAAAAAAAAAAAAAAAAAAAAAAAAAAAAGCCACACTGTGTTTCTTATGGGTGTCATGTTTACTCGCCCATGTACCTTCATGCCAGGGTTGGGGGCTTGCCATGCTTAACCTCCAGCTCCTGAGCTTCCTTTCTAAGGTCACTTCCTGTTTGTGAAAGGGGAAGGTGGGGGCAGGAAGTGGGGACTGTGATCTGCTAGGGAAACAAAGATCTCCTGCTGACCCCTGGACCAGATCTTGAGAACTCCCTACTGGAATTTTCCACGGGCTCTTTTGAGCACCCCATCCTGTGGCGTATCTGAGTCTTCGTGGATATTCTGCATGTCACGGGCTCAAAAACTCACCCTGCAGCGCTTTCCGGATGTCCACGGTGGAAGATGATAACCCTTTGAACCGCTTTATAAAGTGCCTTTATGTTCAATACTTTCACGGGGTGTTTTGGGGGTCTTATTTTTTGTTCTC